AGTGAGACTCTGTCTCAAAAAAAAAAAAAAAGAATATTCATGGCAGAATTGTTCCATAATAGCAAAAATCTGGATGCAGTGCAAATGCCTAACAGGAGAATGGATAAATGAAATATAACAGTGAAAATGAATAATCCCCATTTATACATCTCTACATGGATGATTCTCACAAATACAATATTGAACAAATAAATCAAGTTGTAGAAAAATACATACATTCATTCCCTCAAAATAAGCAGCTGCTATGTGCCTGGCACTCTTTTAGGCACTGAGGAAATATCAGCAAATAAGACAGGCAAAAATCCCAGTCATCCTACCTTCTAATATGAAGGTTCAAATAAAGAAGAAAGGTAAAATTAGCTCAGACTGTAAAAACCTGTCCTGCTATTCATCAACACAGATAAAGCCAGCTTTAACAGCAAACATTTTTCTCAAGGATATGCTCCTGCTGTAGTCTCATAATAATCTCTTTCTTTGAGTGACTACTGCTTTCTTAATAAAAAACTCTGTTCTAGAAAATGTTGCTCTTTGAAATTGTATGTTGATTCCTCCAGGCAACAACCACTAGGAACATACCTGTTGAAAAAGTTAAGTTTATTACTCATTGCTGTGAGGGAGAATGCACATCATAGGGAATCATGGGACGACTCATTAAGAGAGTGTTAGATAACAATTATAGGACTTGGGCTTGTTAGGTGATTTGGGGGAGGGTTTAAGGATTCACGGTTTTGCTTGGGAATGGATACTGTCAGAAAGTGGGGTTAATTCTATGATTGGGCATCTTAATAAATCTTATCTATAGTGAGGTATCTTTGCAAAGGTTGTATCTGATAAAGTACTTGTATCAGGCTAAAGCTGTAATTGGTAAAGAAGCAGTTCTGTTAATACCTGGGAAACGAGATGTTTGGTAGTTTGTGGCTTGGATAATGTTCATGTTTTGTATTCAACAAGATACAGAGTGGTCTGGTTTTGTTTTGATCCATCACAATCAGTCTGTTGATGTTCTGTGAAATTGTTTATGCTCAACAGGAGAACGCCAAGACCTAGCTGTGTGTGCCAGGCCAACTCCTGGATGTCAGTGGCTGTTTTTGTCTTTCTCACGTATTAGTAAGCATGAAACATCCCATTCTAGGCTGCAGGATCTGAGTCACCTTGACACAGAGAAACAGTCTCAATTTCCATTCCAGATGCAAAGCTTCAGATAAGTGACTACATTCCACATCTATCTTAACCTTGTAGTTTCCACAGAAACAGGACCCTGGGGCCACTTTGCAGTCCAGGCCAGATTATGACACCTTTACACACAGCTGTGCTTTGCTTTGAGTCTATCAAAACACTGCTTCACTTAAATTTCACCTGACCTCCACCCTTTCCCAAATCATACGGCAAACTCTTTTCCTCTTGTGACAGGTCCCAGGACTACACTGGTGTGCTATCTCCTTCATTGCAATGAGTCAATAATCTTGACTTCGGTGGAATTACATGTTTGTCCTTGGTGATGTGAGGCTGATTGAGCTAGAACAAAACTATATACAGTATAATAGACATAAATGTTATGGAAAAAATAAAAGCAAGGAAAAAAGTGTTGTGGAAGGGACAGTTTGTGATTTAAGTAGTGTGCTCAGGGAAGTCCTCATGGATAAACTGACATCTGAGCAAGGAGTTAAGGGAAGTGGGGGACTTTTTAATTGGCTGAGAATCTGCCAAAAGGAGCAGTCTAGGAAGAAGGAAAAAGTGCAAAGGCCCTGCGAAGGGGCATACGGGGCATGTTCCAATCACAGTTGCGTGGCGAGGCGTACCCTCACAACCTCTTTAATTCTGAAACCTACCCCTATCCCCACTGCTACTCCCTGATCCTGATTTTGCTTTTCTCCATAGAAGTGTTCAAGATATAACCTGTGTTTATTATGCTTGTTTTCTGCTTCCGCCAGGGCAGGCATCTTCACCTGTCTCCTTCACTGATATAGCCCAAGCTCCTAGCAGTGTGGGACACACAGAAGGGGCTCGACAGCCACTTGTGGAGGGACGGAGGCCTGGGGCTGAACAGAGAGGGAGGTTAAGGGAAGGAGAAGGAGGAGACCCGATCACGCGGGACCTTGGGGGCCACTAGGTGAGGTCGAGAGCCTCGCGGACCCACAAGGAACTAGCCTGGCTAATTGGGACCGCCCCCCACCACCACCGTGAACGCGATACGCGTCGACGCGCGTGCGCCGGCAGCGGCCCCAACGAGGCGCCCGTGTGATTGGCCGCCGCAGACTCCTAGAGTAGCATTGCGCACGCGCGCCTCTTCGCGCGCGACTGGTGCTCGTGGGTGTATGTTGCTCGCCAGCTTCCGTCGTCTCCGCGGCACCCCAGCTTCTCATCCAGAGTGCTCGTTCCCGGAGCTCGGAATGTTCCCGGAACTCAATAACCTTCTCAACATTACCCCCGACAGGGCGGAGCAGGTAAGATGTCGCGCGGCCCGGAAGGGGGCGGGTCCTGGGAGCGTGGCGACATACTGCATCCGGGACGCGGCGCGTACTAGGGGATGCGAAAAGCGCGACGACCGCGGGCACCGGGCGCCTGGGAGTTGTAGTCCGTAGAGAACCAACGGGGCTGGGACTGGAGAGTTGGGCCCGCCGAAGGTGGGCCTCTGGACCTTCTCGCATGCTCTCAGAGGCCGCGCGTCCCCTTAAAAGTCCCTAGGAAGCATGTCCGATAATTGGGTTGGCTTGTATTCACAGACATATACTGGGGAGCCCTGTGCGTCGTCACTGGGGTGGGGGTTACTAGGAGCCCAGAGGAGGTTACAGAACAGACCCTAGAGGAGAATTCGATCTCCGGCCGTCCTAATGGAACAGCTTCTTAACCGCCTCTGAGCACTGGGCATGTTGTATTGAACACTGCTGCTCCTCTTAACACTTTCTCCTCGTGGTCTCTGATTGAGCTGTTCAAAGCTGCAAGGAGCTAGCATTGGGTTGCATCAAGTCCACCTTCGGCACCACAGCCCGGCCACTGTTTTCTCCACTCCTCTCACACTCCGGGGCACCTCCAGATCTTTCGCACTTTAACGCAGGGGTTACCTCTTCCAGGAACATATCTTGTATTTCGTAACCTTTGTCTTCCTAATGAAATGGTAGACTCCTTCAGGCAGCCAGGATACATGTGTGTAAGGCCTTTTTATGACCCATAGTGCCAGGTGAATTGTAACTCTTAATAGATCTTTGTGGATTTTAGTTGCCTGGCAGTCTGTCCAAGCCTCCAGATGGCTCTGGTTACCTTGCCAATTACTATTGGCACTTTCAAAGCTCTCAGAGTGAGGGAATGGAGGATTCAAGTGGACGCTAGGGAATGACAGCACTGGGAGTAACCCTTAAGGTCTGACTGTGTGATCTTTCATATTTTATAAGTGAAAAGAACAAAGGCCCAGAGAAGATAGGCACTTGCCTAAGGTCACATGGCAAGGAAGTGTTATGTATGGTACCACGGGATCTTGACCCTCCTTCTCACCGACAGAACTAGAGATAGCTGGAGCAAGGCAACCAGGCACTGCAGAGACCACCTTTAGAGCTCTTTCCAGGGCTCTTCAAGATCAGAGCTCTGACTGAAGTAGGGCCATTGGGAGAATTTTGTTGATGGTGGTCTCCATCAACAACTACTTCCTCCCCTCTCACCTACCCTATAGGGCATAATGGTATCAGAATTAGAAATAGGAAGTTAGGTCAGAAGACCTTTTTGAAGGCCCCTTCCAATCCTGGCAGTTTTCATTGTCATCTGATGGTAAAAGCATCCTTTGTTCAGGATCTAATTCTCCCTAAGACTTTTTCCTGATAACTAAGGTGAGGAGTGAGGAAGAGAAGGAATTTTATTCTGTTTTGCCTTGAAAAAGTGGAGGCTGAGGTATGCTTACCTGTCATGAATAACTTAATATTGATAACTTTAGTAATTGATTTTTCCATAATTTTAACTTATTTTCTTTTTTGAGTAAACTTAGCCTATATATCATTAAAAATTACACTCTATAGGTGTAGTAATTTAGGGTAGACACGACTGACTAGATTTCTACACTGCATTGACCTTTTTCCAAGGAGTTTAATTCACCTTTTTGTGTTCCTTGTCACTTTTAGGGGAAACTGACTCTACTCTGTGATGCCAAGACAGATGGCAGTTTCCTTGTGCACCACTTTCTCTCCTTCTACCTCAAAGGTATGGGACTCATTGATGCTGTAGAAAAGAAACCCAAAGCAAAAAATGAAACAAAAACCAAAACTGTTTCAGGAAGCAATGAGAATAGCATTTACTAACCAGGGCTTTGGTGTTTGGGTAACTAGGGCACTATTTTATTGGGTAACAGATTATTGGACCATCTTGTTCCTTCCCTAACCCTGCCTAAGAGTGGCATGTGCTCACTGTTTCCATGTCCTACCTTCCCCTTCCCCACACACTGTGCGGGCACTGCCTCAGGGAGGTCCTTTTGTGGCCTCCTGATTTGGTTGCTCCTTAGTTCTTAAGTATCTTGATCTCTGGGCACTTGTCACTATTGACACTTGGCTGTGGTAGTAGATGCTTCCTAAAGAACATGGCCACTGCAGTTTACATATGGAAATAGATTAGAAAAAGAAAATAGCCAAATGTAAAAAAGACTCATTTGTCAGTGGATTCTCCTTGAGCATGTACTTTTCGAGGCTGGGATACAAGCTAGACCTTTGGCACTCTTAGTCATAATAATGATAATTCACAGCTTTGAAAGTGATTTTCTTTTTCAGATGATGTGATTGTCAGCATTAGAAAAAGCAAGAGAATCTACAGATAAATTTTAGAATTAATAAGTTCCAGTCAAGTAGCTGGAGCTCCTTTGTGCTTCTCTTATTTCCTGTTGGATAAAAGACCAGTTTTACCCATAATAACTAAAAGTAAAAAATTAAAACATTTGAAAAAGAAAGACCAGTTAAAAAAATCAGTTGTATTCCTATATACCAACAATAAACACAAAAAAAGACACAATTGAAAAAAGACACAATTTATTTACAATAGAACAAAATTACTTAGTAATACATCGGACAGAAATACATCTTAGAATCAGTGAAATAAGGCATAACTTAAATAAGAAAAAAGTACATCTTAGAATCAAATTGGGTACGTCAGGGTGCAAGGCCTTTGGGTCTCTAGATCTGCCTCAGTGCTTTTGTTTCCAGAGGTATGAAGTCTGTGAGATTGATTGTAAGTACAAGATTTGTTAAGAATCATTTTATTTTTGTTTTCTAGCTAATTGTAAAGTCTGCTTTGTGGCACTCATCCAGTCCTTCAGCCACTACAACATCGTGGGACAGAAGCTGGTAGGTATTTTAGAACGCTGTGGTGAGGTTTCCCGAGTGAGTACGTGTACCACGCACTTGTGAGCATGGTCCAAGGCAGGGCTTTCCTGTTTGTGTTGTAGAGAACTTAGCAAAGGATGGAAGAAGGAAATCTTGGGATCCTGAACTCCTTATCTGAAGGGCTATGGCAGCATCTCAGCATGTTTTATTAGTTGAGAATTCATAGAATCAGGCCTGCCATTTGTAGATGTTAATTAATCAAACACTTCTCTACTGCTTCTGGACCAGTTCAGGGTTTCTCCTTTTCAGTGTGGGCTTTAACCTTGGTTCTGCTGGGTTGGAGATTGCACCTTACTCTGCTGTGAAATTGGGTGCCTCCTGCTGTCTCTCCCTAAGTCTAGGGCTTGAGATCCCAGTGTGGGGAGAGGCACTTTTGTTGCTTGCCCCTCACTTCATCAATGGAATAAGATGGCCAAGAGGCTGGTGAACTTCTGACCTAGCCTGGACCATTACCTGTGATGAAGTGGACTGACTTACTGCCTGGAAAAATGGGAGCTAAAGGGAGATGGGCTGTTTTTTTTTGTGGGGGGTGGGGTACAGGCCAGCCTTAGAGAAGGAGAGAAGCAGGCCACCCATCAGCACTGATGTTTAAAAATTCCAGTCTTAGTGTTTGGCCAAGTCACTGCTGCTCTGTTGGGCAAAAGTAAATAAGGGGCGAGAGAACAGTAGACTCTCTCTTTCCCATCCTTTGCAGAGAAGGAGCAAGTTGCTGAGGTCAGGACATGAGCTAAGGGAGAACAGTCATGTCAAGAACACATGTTGCATTCCAAATTTTTAAAGCATTTCTCTGTGGCCATAGCATCTGTGTTTCTGGGTGAGAAAGCTGTGTCCAGGTTGGCTACTTTTTCTTTTATTTTTGATTCATCATCAACATGGCAGGAATGGCATGCACAGAACTTGGCATGTGAAGTACTAGAGTGTGAGCTTCCATACTCATGACATATTATTACACTTACATAAGAAGACTGGTAATGAGCATGAAAAAAGGTGAAGATCAGGAGTCTTTTTCTCTGTCGGGCTGGCTGTTGGAGCAAATGGTGTTGGATAGTGAGGACATTGGGCATTTGGTGTATGAATGAGCAATTGAGACCTGATCTAGTGGCATGGAGAGTCTAAAGATTTCCATGTGACTTGTTTCTGCACAAATGGAGCAATGGGTTGCATATTTATTAATAGAATGCATCACTGTCCCTAGGGTGTTTGTTGAAATGCAGATCCTGGGACCTGCCTTTGTTCTGGAGGTCTGAAGTTGGGCCCAGGGATCTGTGTTTTAATCTGGTATTGCAAGGGATTTTTAATTGGTTAGTGGTTCATGAAGAACCATATTTAAGAAGTCCTGGGCCGGGTGTGGTGGCTCATGCTCATCTTAGCACTCTGGGAGGCCGAGGCAGGCGGATTGTTTGAGCTCAGGAGTTCAAGACCAGCCTGAGCAAGAGTGATACCCCGTCTCTACTAAAAATAGAAAGAAATTGGCCAGACAACTAAAAATAGAAAAAATTAGCCGGGCATGGTGGTGCGTGCCTGTAGTCCCAGCTACCTGGAGGTTGAGGCAGGAGGATTGCTTGAGCCCAGGAGTTTGAGGTTGCTATGAGCTAGGCTGACGCCACAGCACTCTAGCCCAGGCAACAGAGTGAGACTATGTCTCAAAAAAAAAAAAAAAAAAAGAAATCCTATTCTAGAGCAGGACTAAATTTCTACATTCCCTGTTTCTCAAAAATAAAGTTTTATTGGAACACAGCCATACTCTTCATTTACAAATTGTCTGGGGCTGTTTTCACTGTACAAAAACAGAAATGAGTGTATGCAACAGAGATTGTATGGCCTGCAAAGCCTACCTGGCCCTTTACAGAAGAAGTTTGCTGACCCCTGAACTAGAAGAGCATCAAGGGTTCATGTTGCCCTTTCATGGGAGCACTTCTTTGGTTAAAGGAAAAGAGAAGAGAAAACTTACTTATCATGAGTTCTTATTACATTTCAGGCAGCCTGAGAGTTGTAGTCCATGAGTTGTGTTCTTTAAAACCTCAGGACAACCTTGAGGTCCCATGCCAGTGATGGGTAAACAAAGCAATTTGTTTTGGCCCTTTTCCCTACAGCAGCATTTTCTAGACTTTGATCATTCACCCATTGTCTTATTTTTTCTTTCTTTCTCTCTTTTTTTTTTTTAGAGGAGATGGGTTCTCACTGGCCTGATCATAGCTTACTGTAACCTTCAACTCCTGGGCTCAAGTGATCTTTCTACCTCAGCCTCCCAAGTAGCTGGGACTACAGGCATTTGCCACCACGCCCAGCTAATTTTTTTAAAAAAATGTTTTATAGAGATGGGGTCTTGCTGTGTTGCCCAGGCTGGTCTCAAGCAATCCTCCTGTCTTGGCCTCCCAAAGTGCTGGGATTATAGTTGCGAGCCACTGCATCTGACCTCCCATTGTCTTATTATTATTAATATTGTTTACTTCTTGTTTTAAAATGAAACCTTGTATTACTATTGTAAATTAAAAACCACTATTGGGTAATCATAAAAATAGATATATAAACAAAAGAATGTAAATTTTTTTAAAAAATGTGACAATTAAATGAAAATACACATCTGAAAACAGAATGAGGACTGTGGATTGGGAGCACCCAAGGAAAGGAAGACAAGGGTCCATATGTAGGGTGGATAGGTACACTTTTGCGGTATGAAATATGTCTTGTGCCCTTTTGTGAGCTGGCATCTGGCCTTTCTGATGGGTTCCCCCACAAAGCACAAGGTACCTCACTCTACTCTTTGTTGTGTTTAGGGTGTCAGCCTGACCTTGGCTCGGGAACGTGGACAGCTTGTGTTCCTTGAGGGTCTCAAGTCCTCAATGGATGTCTTCTTCCAGGCTAATGAGGAGCCACACCCCCTGCAGTTTCTCAGGTCAGACAGCCTGCAGCCCAGCCCAGAATTACATACTTGGCAGATGGGCCCAGGCAAGGTTGCTGTGTGATATGTTCTCCTCATGTGTGGGAGGACAGAACTGGCTTTAGGAGTTAGCTCTTCACTTGGTGTTGCAGCATTATCGAAAACCCTTGGCTTTTATCATGGGGCCGAGGGTGTACCTTTGTCCCAAAAGCTATAGAAAGGATCAGTTGCTGGGAGGATGGCAGAATAATATGCTTTGTTGTTTTCTAACCCTGGCTCAGATCCCTAGCATACACCTTTGCTTTGTTCTTGGCTTGAGACTGGGGTCACCAAATAACAGTCTGGGGGCTAGCCCCCTGTTTTTGTAAATAACGTTTTATTGGAATACAGCCACATTCGTTTGCATATTGCCCCCGGCTGTATTTGCCCTACAACAACTAAGCTGAGTAGTTGAGACAGAGACCATATGACCTGCAATCCTAAAATATTTACTCTCTGGACCTTTAGGAAAAAGTTTTTGTCCCTTGGTTTGGTATTCAACATCAGAGGTCTGAGATTGTCTTTCCTGCTTTTTGTCCTTTTTGAACATCAGCCAGAAACCTAGCTCTGTGCAGCCTCCCCACTTGGTTGCTGTTCTTCCTTATCCACAAAGGAGTCCACACAGGAACTCTCCTCACTGCCTCCGTCTCTCAGATACACCTATATGCGGTTGCTAGGAGGCCATGTTCCCTCACCTGTGTGTGACTGCACACACACATCCCTTAGCACCTCTGGGGTTTCTTCATCTGAATACAGGGGCTGGTTACACCTCGTCATCCCAGGGGGTGGGAAGTTGTTGTCATGAGTGAAGATAACCCAATGCCAGGACTCATCGCTGGAGCGTGACACAGTGGGGCAGTTGCCCTGGGCCCAGGGCTCTGTTCTTCCACCCACTGCTGGGAAATGACTGCTGGGAGTAGTCACTGGGGAAGATGGAGGCTGCATGCAAGCAGCCCTTAGACCACTGCCCCTTACCACCAGGGCACCTGAATTGCAGTTTAACTTTTTATAGCCATGTATGACCTCCTGGGAAGGCTTCTCTTGCCTGCCCAATCCAAGTTAATCTTCTAGATCCCTTAAGCTCTTGGGTTGAGAGGCTGTATGGTTTCTCTTAAAGGCCCTAGGGTCTGTTTGTTTTTGTGGCCCTCAGTTTCTAGCACAGTGCTTTGTACCTAGTAGCCTCAAGAAATATTTGAATTGGAGTAAAACTTATCCCTGCACCCGTACATGCCTTTCCTTTCCAACTAGATTGTGAACCCCTTGATGCTAAGGACTATGATATGGTTCTTTGCTTCCCCCAGCCCTCTGTTGTGGTGCCACCTGGTACCTGATAAATGTTTGTAGAGAGAGTGAACTCTGCCGACTTGTTCTGTCTCTCCAGGGAGGCCAACCCTGGGAACCTGCAACCATTGTTTGAGTTTGTGAGGGAGGCCCTGAAGCCTGTGGACAATGGAGAGGCTGTGTGGAAGTGCCCAGTGCTGCTGGTGGACGATCTCAGTTTGCTCCTGAGCCTGGGCGTGGGGGCAGTGGCTGTGCTGGACTTTGTTCACTACTGCAGAGCCACCGTGTGCTGGGAACTAAAGGTACTAATGGAACTGCTTTCTGTGCTCCCACCTGTGACCTCCAAGAGCTCAAACTGGTCCAGACCTCACTTGCTTGCAGTGATCTTTTTATTTATTTGCTTGGGGTTTTGGCTTTACTCTGGCAGGCTCAGAAATCTTTTGATCCACACACCTTACTCTCTCTTACTCGCCATTGCTAAAAAATAAAGCCTTCAGATATAAAGGGATATGTTCAGTGGGGCTGGTCACATGTTGGTACTGCTGCAGTCCCAGCTCTGACATACGTGGCCCGTGTGTTCTGGGCCAAGTTATTATCATCCCTGAGTGTATTTTGTAGATCGGCTAAGATAATGGGTATAACTACTTTAAAAATTGGAAAGTACAATACAAGTACAGGATATAAAATATTACCTTTACTATAAAATTATGAGACAAAAATAGAGATTTTTGCCATAATAGAGTGTTTTTTTTGTTTGTTTGGTTTTTGTTTTTTTTTTTTTTTGAGACAGGGTCTTGCTCCGTTGCCTGAACTGGAACTCAGTGGCTTCATCATAGCTCACTGCAACCTCAAACTTGTGGGCTTAAGCAATCCTCCTGCCTCAGCTTCCCGAGTAGCTGGGACTACAGGCATGCACCACTACGCCTGGCTAATTATTTCTGTTTTTTGTAGAGATGGGGTCTTGCTATTGCCAAGGCTGGTCTTGAACTCCTGGCCTCAAGTGATCCTCCCGCCTTGACCTCCCAAAGTGCTACGATTATAGGCATGAGCCACCCGGCCCGGTCCGTAATAGAGTTTTTAACAATAATAATAGACCAGCCAATAAAATAGGAATGGCTGTGCTGCCTACCTCAGGAATTAAGTGAGATGAAGCTTGTGACATGCCAGCACAGTGTCTGGCCCATGGTAGCCACTCTTTAGTATGCCATGATGCAGCCCATAGGAAAGTGTGGATGTTGGCATGGTGTGGTCAGGCTGAATGTGTAGAGCACTGAGAGTGAGGAGCTGAATGAGTTAGCCAGGGGTGTGGGTATCCAGCAATTCCTGTTGAGCACCTCCTATGTGCAAAGTCCTGCCTGAAAGCTGTGTTCTGGGAACTTCTAAGGCTGTCCCAGCTGCATTCACAGGGCCAGGAACCAGGGTAATGTGGAGAAAATGGAAGGAGGTGGAAATGTAAGGGGCTTGAAGGGCACATTCAGGGTTGGGGGTGAGAGAAGAGTAGTCAGTCACCTTCTGGGCTGGATGCAGTGGCTTATGCCTATAATCCTGGCACTTTGGGAGGCTGAGGTGGGAGGATCACTTGAGGCCAGGAGTTTGAGACCAGCCTGAGCAATAGCAAGACCCCGTCTCTATAAAAAGTAGAAAAATTAGTTGGGCATGGTGGCGTGTGCCTGTAGTCTCAGCTACTTGGGAGGCTGAGGCAGGAGGATCACTTGAGCCCAGGAGTTGGTGGTTGTAGCGAGCTATGATAATGCTTCTGCATTCTAGCCTGAGTGACAAAGTGAGACCCCGTCTCAGAAGAAAAAAAAAAAAAAGCCATCTTTTGTAGCTCAGCTTGGTCTATGACCTGCTACCACCTTCTTTTTGTAAAAATATTTCTTTTAGTTGAAAAGTAAAGCTTCGGCATAGTGAAAAAAAAAAAAAGAAGAAGAAGAAGAAGAAAGAAACAGTATAAAAGATACTTTAGCAAAAAGTTCTAATTATCTCCCTCCCTCCAATGTCTGTATCCTTCCAGAGAGTCTATGCTGTTATGAACATATTTGTATGTAATTTGTCTCCCTGCATTTTTCTTCACATTGCTGGTAACTTGCCACTCACACTGTTGGGTATGTCTTTTTTCATTTATTAACACATGATATATTTTGTTGTCCATTGCCCAAAAATAACACATGGATCTGCTTCATTCTTTTTGACAACTGGGCAGTATTCCTTTGAAAGGACTTATTATTCAATTGTCACTTTTCAGTGGGGTTGCCCTTCTCCTCCGTTTCTGCTTGGCTAACTCCTCCTTGCCCTTCAAGACTCAGCTCAAATGTGCCCACTTCCTGACCTCCTCCTCTGGGCTTGTATTCCTCTAGCACCCCATGCTTCCCTCTCTCCTGGCCTCGTGATCCCGTATTATCAGCATCTGTCTGTCTCCAGAGCCCACATCCCTTGTCCCTTATCCCCACTGAGGAGTCTGGTACACAGGAAGTGCTCAGAAACTTTTGACTGGATGAATTGGTGCCTGGCAGAATGGTAACAACATTCAGGAATTCAGGAGTGAGCTAATTTTAAAGACCATGGGGTAAGCTTGGTTTAGATGAATTGAGCTGGAAGTATAGGTTGGATATGGTGGTGAAACTGTCCAGTAGATAATTGGACTGGGGGTCTGGGAGCCCAGGTAGAGGTTTTTCCCCCAAAGGGGCTGGTTGTAGTGGCAGCAGAGAGGGTGATCTTTGAGAGAATATGCAGAGGAGTGGAGGCACTAAGAGGCTGGTGCTCCCTGACCCTGGATGTCCCTTCCAGTAAGGAGCAAGTTTCCATCTTGTGTCTGATGCAGGGCAACATGGTGGTCCTTGTGCATGACAGTGGAGATGCTAAGGACGAGGAGAATGACATCCTGCTGAATGGTCTCAGTCATCAGAGCCACCTGATCCTGCGGACTGAGGGCCTGGCCACTGGATTCTGCAGGGACGTGCATGGGCAGGTACCCAGGGGCTGGGGTCAGGGGGTCACTGGGCAACGAGCTTCTGATCCCTGTGCCTTTGACTCCAGACTGCACAGGGAGGGATTACTGGGCCCGAGAGATTGTTTGGTTGGGATATTCCTTCAGGTGGAGGAGAAACCTCAGAAATTGTGTGACTGCAAGTCAGAGACTAGCTCCAGATGGTGTTTGCCTCATGGACCAGTGCACGTTTTCCATGGTGGTCTCATTTGTGACCAAAGTGGAGCTCTCCTAAAAAGGAGCTGTCTAAAGTGGAATGCAGGGGCCATGCTATCAATATCTGTGGAATTCCTCTGCAGTATGACAGCAGGCTTTGTATATTCAGGTCAGCACTGCTCCTTTTAAAGTAAAGACTTGGGGAGGCCATACCCATGGACGAGGGTTGCTGCTGCTGCCACTGCTACCTCTTATCAGAACATTTGGAATACTTGGGCAGAAGCTGAGAGTGCTGCCCTGGAAGGGGAGCCAGGTTCTACCCCTCCAAAGGGGCTACTGTCTGGTTCTGTGCCTTCTAAATCTCTTTTGGAATCTCCTGAGCTTCTGCCACAGATTCCAGGTTAACTTCACGTTGACCACTCTTGGCCCAGTACAGGTGGTTGGGAGTCTTGAGCAGAGTCATTGAGAGGTGGAAAAAGCAGAGGAGCAACGCGATGTCTGTGGTGCCTGTGGCGTGGCATGAGGACATGACTAGAGGGTGTGCTGGGCAGCTGCGGTCTCAAGCCAGTCCCCCAGAGCATTCTAGTCAGTGAAACATAATCAAAAATATGTCTGTCCTTCCTCAGCCTCTGTGTTGAATGTACAAATCCTGATGTGATTTTCAAAATTAGTCTAGCCAACAATTATAAAACCATGCACAGAAAAAAAGACCAAAGGGAAATACATAAAACACTATAGTGGTTTTCCTCTGGAGGACTTTTTTTTCCGTTCCTTTTCTTTCTCTTTCACATTTTCTGTAATGAGCAAATAAGGCTATTGTAGTGGAGGGGGAAACCTTTATTTTTAGTTAGCTGGTAATGAGCTTTATTTTTCAAGTTGGTCCCATTACTGCATGGCATGTCTGACTGATCTCACAGAGCCCTCCGTTGAAGGTCACGGCGAGGGCAGGGTGGGGTTCACAATGGAGCGCATGCTCTGGGTGGCTGCTCCTCTCTCATTCTTCTCTGTCTCTGTAGCTGAGGATCCTGTGGAGGAGGCCATCACAGCCCACAGCCCAGCGGGATCGGAGCCTCACTTACCAGTATAAGATACAGGACAAGAGTGTGTCCTTTTTCGCCAAAGGAATGTCTCCTGCTGTTCTGTGACCTGATTTAGGGGAGCTGAAACTACCTTGGACTGTTTTTGTATGTGGAAGATAAAGCAGCCTAGCAGGAATGGGTCTTTACATCTTCGTAGTAGTATTTCAGGCTGGACTGGCAGCTCTGCTGTGACTCAGGGAGAGTTGAATGGTGCAACGATGGTAGGCCTTGGCTCACCTGGGCCCTGTTCAGAAACAATGAGGCACGCACGCCCCTGCCTCTGCCGAGGGAGAGGCTGGATGTTGAACCCCAGCAAAAGGGGTCCTTAGGAGCCTTCATATAAATTACACTTTTGCCCCAACTGCCCATTTTTGGTTATTGTGCCTTTTAGAGCGAGAGTGGGTGTGAATATGCCAGCCAGGAGATAGTCCTGGATGGCAGGCGTCCAGGGTGATAACTAGAATAATCATGGCTGGAATAAAGTATTAAGTTCCCACATCAGAGCTTCCTCTGGGTTGTCTCTTATTTTATTTATTTATTTTTTTAATGAGACAGAGTCTTACTCTGTCCCACCAGGTAGAGTACAGTGGTGTCATTGTAGCTCACTGCAACCTCAAACTCCTGGGCTCAATGATCCTCCTGCCTCAGCCTCCTGAGTAGCTGGGACTACAGGTACATGTCATGATGCCCAGCTAATTTTTCTATTTTTAGTAGAGATGGGGTCTCACTCTTGCTCAGGCTGGTCTCAAACTCCTGAGCTCAAGTGATCCTCCTGCCTCGGCCTCCCAGAGTGCTAGGATTATAGGTGTGAGCCACCTCACCCAGCCTATCTCTTTTAATTTTCATCTCATCCTGCAAAGATATTTTCCCTTCAAGTCCAGTGAAGAAACAGGTTTAGAGAGGTTTGGAAGCACACTCAAGGCTGTAGAGCAGGCAGTAGGTAATGGAACCTGACTCCAAATTCCACATTTGCAGACTGATAGTCATGGAAACCGGAGGTGTGACCCTTCAACTTCTGTTTCTGTGGCACCTTACCCATATGCTGACAAGTCATGTGTCTGGCCTTGGTGAGAAGGGTAAGGGATGCTATTGCTGCCAGGCAGGATGGGGCCTTGGTGAGAAGCTGATGCCTTCCTTACCTGTGAAGACTATAGGAGGTGAGCTCTTGCCTCAGCATTCTGTAGATGACAACTGGTCCCACTCAGTCCTTTAGTCAAGGTCACCTTAGAGTGGATACCAGGGGTATTTTCTTAAAATGGGAGCATTTTTTGGTATATAAATTATACCACAATGATTTTTATCTTAAAAATAAATAAAATGAAAAAACAATGCTATTTCGAAGTATACTGAGGAACTTTCAGATTTGTTGTTTAACTTTTTTTTTAAAGACAAGGCCTTGCTCTCTCACCCCTGCTGGAATGCAGTAGTGTAATCATAGCTCACTGCAGCCTTGAACTCCTGGGCTCGAGTGATCCTCCTCGGCCTTCCAAAGTGCTGGGATTACAGGCATGAGCCACCATGCCTGGCCTAATTTTAAATTAACTGTAAAAATTTTACATTTTGTGTCTTTGTAAAAGAGAAAAATTTATCACTTCTCCCCTCAAATCATACTGACTATCGTGTAGGTTATCCCACTGAAACAGTAGCTGCTTTTATTCTCAAAATATTGCAGACCTCATAGAATATTTGAAAATTATGAGTATAAGTCACTTAAAGAGAAAGTAGTTATTAAAGAATTTAATGATTTTTTTATTGATATGTCAGTATTTATGCAAGCTTCATTTGAGCTACAGTTTTGAATGGGCAAGGCACTATTTTTTACATGATGTGGATGTTGCTATCATGTTTCTTCACTTAGTTTATAAATGCTTTCACTAAATTTTTTATGTTTAATGACTATTCAGCATTTTATGGTATCATTATATTCTTTTTTTTTTTATTTCAGCATTTGATGGGGGTACAGATGTTTAGGTTACGTTTGTTGCCCTTGCCCCCCCCATATTATATTCTAATTTGCTTAGCTATTCTGTGGGTGCCTAGGTTCTGGTTTTATAGTTGTCAAATATGCTGTCATGAATTTTATATACTATTCCTATTTGGGACTGGGGACAACTACTGGTTTCTTTAGAATGTTTACAAAATAGGTCACTCAAGGAACTGATGAAACTGACATTCTAGTGGAGGAGACAGACAATCAACAAAATTGAGAAGTGATGTATGTAGAGTTAGACCATGGTAAGTGTTATAAATAAAACAGAGAAGGGGGCCGGGTGCAGTGGTTCATGCCTATAATCCTAGCACTTTGGGAGGCTGAGGTGGGAGGGTAGCTTGAATCCAGTCGTTTGAGGCTGCATGATGATGCCACTGCACTCTAGCTGGAGTGACAGAGCAAGACTCTGTCTCGAAAAAAAAAAAAAAAAACAACCACAAAAACCAATCTTAAAGGCATCTGCAGTGTGGTGCAGTGAGAAGGTGATGAGGGCCATAAAAATAATTCAAGTAATGTGAGGCCGATGTTCACAGGAAAGAGCAATTGTTTCCCCCTTTATTTGTTTTTGCTTTTTAGTTGGGGGAGAATTTATGGAGGTATCTGAATAAGACCTTGCAATGTTCCTATTTTGTCTGTGACAGTATCTTAGCTCTTCAGGACTCAGAAATGTATTTTTTGTCCTCATTGGAATGAAATTGCTATTCTTGATGAGGCTGAGAAAATGTTCCTCTTCAATCTCCTATTGCCACCCTTTTTAAGAACGTAATCAGTAATCATTATTGAATTCTATAGATTTTTTCAGCCTCATCAAGGTAATGGCAGTGTTTTTCCTGTGGATGTGATGAGCATCACAACATTTCTCTCTGTCTTATCTAAGCCTTGAATTCCTCTCTGTCTTATCTTATTGGTATTCATTGTATTTTCTATAATCTCCTGTTTGTGTTAGGCTTGCTAAAGTTTTAAAATTTATTATTAAGACTTATCTATTAAAAATAAAATACAAAAAGACTTATCTATTAGTGTGATATTATGCCATCTGTATTCATGAGAGAAGATGACCTATAATTTTTATGTGTCTGTATTATTTTTATCAGGTTTGAGCATTAGAACAACATATGCCTCACAATCCATGTTGAAGAACTTACTGTTTTCCATATACTTTGAAATTCTTAATTCTTTTAATTCTAAGTTAGGACTTCCGTAGGTCAAGGCTAGGTAACTTTTGGGAGGTAATTAAAAGTTTTTTCTTTGTTATTAGTCTTTATTTGTGATTACTTCCTTTGTTGTGTTAGTTTTTGTGGTTTTTTTCTGAAATATTTACTCATTGTATTTGTTTTCCTGAAAAAATATTTGCAATAATATATATAACAAGAGACTTAAACCCAGAATATAGAAAGAACTCTTATAACTTAGTAATAAGAAGATACATGACCCAGGTAGAAAAATGGGCAAAAGATTTGAGTAGATATCTCACCAAAGCAAGACATAGGAATGACCAACATGCATGTAAAAATGCTCAACATGATTAGCCATTAGGGAAATACAAATTAAAACCACAAGGAGACACCACTACAAAGCCACTAAAATGGCTGTATAAAAAATATTGACAAAAAAAAACATTGACAGTAACAAGTGTTGGCAAGGATGTGGAGAAATTGAAACCCTCATATATTGCTGGAGGGAATGTAAAATGGTGCAGCCACTTTGGAAAACAGTTTGGCAGTTTCTTAAAATGTTAAACATAGATTTACTATATGACCCAACCATTCAATTCATAGGTATCTCCCCAAAAGAAATGAAAATATAGATCTACACAAACCCTTGGATATGAATGTTCATAGCAGTGTTTTATCATAATAGCCAAAAAGTAGAAACAATCCAAATGTCCATCAATTGATGATAAAAATGTGGTATATCTGTACAGTGGAATAATATTCAGCAATAAAAAAGGAATGCAGTACATTCTACAACATGTATGACCTCAAAAAACATGCCAGATACTAAAGACCAGGTCTTATATGATTCCATTTATATGAAATGTCCAGAAAAGGCAAATCTGTAGAGACAGACAATAGATTAGTAATTGCTTGGGTCTGGGAGCAAGAATGGGCTCCACCAGGTTTCTTCTTGGGGTGATGAAAATGTTCTAAAATAAGATTGTGATGATAGTTGCACCGTACATTTATTAAAAATCATTGAATTGTACACTTAAGATGGGTGGATTTTATGGCATTTAAATCATACCTGTTTAGGTTAGGATCCTGACTCCGCCACTTACAGCTCTGCTGTGGTAATACACAGGCCCCAAATCCTAACATCCTTCATTTACATTTCATGTCAGTGGCTACAGTTCTCCATGTGGCTTCTCATCCTGGGACCCAGGTGGAAGGAATAGTTCCAATATGGGACTTGTTCTCCTGGCTAAGGGAAAGAACAAGAGGTTTATTCACACAAGCAGTAGCTCTTAAAACTTATTCTAGACCTGGTGTAGGTCATGTTCACTCACACTCTGTTACCAAAAGCAAGACACGGGGCCAAGGCTGACAACGGACAGGGTAAGTGCACTCACTCTGTGGGGAGGTTCCACAGCCTCTTGATAGTGGGCAGGGGTGTGTGTGTATGATCTGCTTGTAGGGAAGGGAACACTGAAATTATCGACTATAGTGATCTTAGTCAAGTTATTTAAACTCTCTAGGCCTCAATTTCTTCATCTACAAAATAAGGAGATATGAGTGCCCAGTTCAGGGGGTTTATTCGGGTTGTCAGCATCAATAAATGATGGCATGTAAAGTAGGCCTCGTGGCCCGTCGCGGTGGCTCACGCCTGTAATCCCAGCACTTTGGGAGGCCGAGGCGGGCAGATTGTTTGAGCTCAGGAGTTTGAGATCAGCCTGCGCAAGAGCGAGACCCTGTCTCTACTAAAAAAAAACAGAAAGAAATTATCTGGACAACTAAAAATATATAAAAAAAAATTAGCCGGGCATGGTGGCGCATGCCTGTAGTCCCAGCTACTCGGGAGGCTGAGGCAGTAGGATTGCCTGAGCCCAGGAGTTTGAGGTTGCTGTGAGCTCGGCTGACGCCATGGCACTCACTCTAGCCAGGGCAACAGAGTGAGACTCTGTCTCAAAAAATAAAATAAAATAAAGTAGGCCTAGTACCTGGCTTAAGTACTAGCCACTGCTGCTGTTCTTATCATTTGGCAAACTTTACCTTACATGGCTCTACTCAAATAGCCTGCTCTTTGGTTTCCTGCCAACCAATTTCCTTTCCCTTATAGCATTTGGAAGCTCAGTGGCAGAAGTTCAGGGGCTTTGGGATTGGGATCAACATTTGATACTCCCTCTGCAACTTAGCAGCTGTGTGACCTCAGGTAAGTTGTTAAAGCTCTGTATGCTACAATTTTTACATCCTTAAAATGGGGTTTATCTTACCTGCCTATAAAGATCATCAGAAGGATTATATGAGATAATATATTGTAAAGCCTGCCTCTGGCAAGAACCCAACAATCA